ACACCAATGAGGGGCACTTTCCTCCCATGACACAATGATGGGGCACTATTCCCCCACTGACACCAATGATGGGCACCTATTCTCACTGACCAAGCGCTTAACACTTGCAGCCTGGTCACGATCACTAGCACCTAGAGCCCCACCACACACCACCCATGATGGGGGCACATTGGCCACCTCACGCCTACACCACAACGCGTACTGTACACCATATGATGAGTGGGCCACTATATCCTCGCTGTCCCACATCTGACACCAATGATGGTTAGCCACTCTTTCCTGACCCACTGATGACACCATGATGGGCACCACTTTGTGTTCCTATACTCTGTTACTGACACGCAGTGGATTGGTGGGCACGTATTCCTCCACTGACAGTCCAGATGATATTGGTAGGCACTATTCCTCCCACTGGACCCAAATAGTGGACCATTCCTCCCCAATGTACAATAAGGTTCGATGGCTACTATTCCATCCCACTTGACACAGTATGATGGTAGGCAAGAGTTCGTCCCCATCAGGATAGACACTGATAGCGAATAGTTCCCCCCACTGACACCAATAATGTGGGCACTTTGTCTCCCACTGATCATCAAGCCATGGTAGCATATCCACATCCAGACTGACAGCAGATGGTATACGATCGGCCTCAATATCCGACCCATGCGCCCCGGTTGACATACTGACACCAATGATGGTATCATACAACAGACAGAGAGATGAGACGGTTCTGGAAAAGGTTGATATTTAATGATATAAAAGACCCCGGAATGGTGAGGAATGGTGGTCCTCAGAAGGCGCAGTTGTCCTGACAGTCCCTCCCGCTATGGAACAGGTGGTAGATGCTGACCATCGGGAACATCAACAAGGCACCAATCAGGGAGCCCGCCTGGATGACGGCTCCACACCATAGGAGGGCGCTATGGCCGGCTTCGTGCAGGAGGCTTCCTATCACCACCTTCAGGTAGGACAGAAGTCCCAGGAACAGGGACCAGGCCAGGACCTGCAGACAGGAGACAGACCATCAGAGGATCTCATCGATTACATCACAGAAAATAAAGGGGGCGGAGAAAGGGGTGGAGAATGGGGACCCACACACAGTGCAGGAAATGAGTATTTGCTCCCCCCCTGATGCTGAATGTTTGCCCCTCACACAGAAACGATCGGTCTAACAATGGAATGTTCGCCCCTCACACAGAAACGATCGGTCTAACAATGGAATGTTCGCCCCTCACACAGAAATGATCGGTCTAACAATGGAATGTTCGCCCCTCACACAGAAACGATCGGTCTAACAATGGAATGTTCGCCCCTCACACAGAAACGATCGGTCTAACAATGGAATGTTTGCCCCTCACACAGAAACGATCGGTCTAACAATGGAATGTTCGCCCCTCACACAGAAACGATCGGTCTAACAATGGAATGTTCGCCCCTCACACAGAAATGATCGGTCTAACAATGGAATGTTCGCCCCTCACACAGAAATGATCGGTATAACAATGGAATGTTCGCCCCTCACACAGAAATGATCGGTCTAACAATGGAATGTTCCCCCCTCACACAGAAATGATCGGTCTAACAATGGAATGTTCGCCCCTCACACAGAAACGATCGGTCTAACAATGGAATGTTCGCCCCTCACACAGAAATGATCGGTCTAACAATGGAATGTTCGCCCCTCACACAGAAACGATCGGTCTAACAATGGAATGTTCGGTGTAACACTGAGAGACAGAATACAACAACAAATTCAGCAGAAATGCGTCTAACAAATGATGACGGATCTGCATGTTCATGAGGGAAAGAAGGATTTGATCCCCTTCACAAAACATGACTTAGTACTTGGTGGCCAATCCCTTGTTGGCAATCACAGAGGTCAGACGTTTCCTGGAGTTGGCCCCCAGGTTCGCACACATCTCAGGAGGGATTTTGGCCCACTCCTCTTGGCAGATCCTCTCCAAGTCATTAAGGTTTGGTGGCTGACGTTTGGACAACTCGAACTTTCAGCTCCTCCACAGATTTTCCATCGGATGAAGGTGTGGAGACTGGCTAGGCCACTCCAGGACCTTAATGTGCTTCTTCTTGAGCCGCTCCTTTGTTGCCTTGGCCGTGTGTTTTGGGTCATTGTCATGCTGGAACACCCATCCACCACCCATTTTCAATGCCCTGGCTGAGGGAAGAAGGTTCTCACCCAAGATTTGAGGGTACATTGCCCCGTCCATCGTCCCTTTGATGCGGTGCAGTTGTCCTGTCCCCTTAGCAGAAAAACCCCCCAAAGCAGAATGTTTCCCCACCATGTTTCACAGTTGGGATGGTGTTCTTGGGGTCATAGGCAGCATTCCTCCTCCTCCAAACACGGCGAGTTGAGTTGATGCCAAAGAGCTGGATTTTGGTCTCCTCTGACCACAACACTTCCCACCAGTCCTCCTCGGCATCATTCAGATGTTCAGTGGCAGACTTCAGACGGGCCTGGACATGGGCTTTCTTGAGCAGAGGGACCGTGCGGGCACTGCAGGATTTCAGTCCTTTCGGCGTAGTGTGTTACCAATTGTTTTCTTGGTGACTGTGGTCCCAGCTGCCTGGAGATCATTGACAAGATCCTCACGTGTAGTTCTGGGATGATTCCTCACTGTTCTCATGATCATTGACACTCCACGAGGTGAGATCTTGCATGGTGCACCAGACCTAGGGAGACTGACACTTGTTTTGTGTTTCTTCCATTTGTGAATGATTGCACCAACTGTTGTCACCTTCTCACCAAGCTGCTTGGCCATAGTTTGGTAGCCCAGTCCAGCCTTGTGTAGGTCTACCATCTTGTCCCTGACATCCTTGGACAGCTCTTTGGTCTTTGCCATGGTGGAGAGTTTGGAATCTGATGGTTTGATGGCTCCTGTGGACAGGTGTCTTTTATACAGGTAACACAATGAGATTAGCAGCACTCCCTTTAAGAGACTGCTTCTAATCTCAGCTTGTTACCTGTATGAGAGACACCTGGGAGCCAGAAATCCTGCTGAATGATAGGGGATCAAATCCTTCTTTCCCTCATGAACATGCAGATCCGTCATCATTTGTTAGACGCATTTCTGCTGAATTTGTTGTTGTATTCTGTCTCTCAGTGTTACACCGAACATTCCATTGTTAGACCGATCATTTCTGTGTGAGGGGCGAACATTCCATTGTTAGACCGATCATTTCTGTGTGAGGGGCGAACATTCCATTGTTAGACCGATCGTTTCTGTGTGAGGGGCGAACATTCCATTGTTAGACCGATCGTTTCTGTGTGAGGGGCGAACATTCCATTGTTAGACCGATCATTTCTGTGTGAGGGGGGAACATTCCATTTAGACCGATCATTTCTGTGTGAGGGCGAACATTCCATTGTTAGACCGATCATTTCTGTGTGAGGGGCGAACATTCCATTGTTAGACCGATCGTTTCTGTGTGAGGGGCGAACATTCCATTGTTAGACCGATCGTTTCTGTGTGAGGGGTGAACATTCCATTGTTAGACCGATCGTTTCTGTGTGAGGGGCGAACATTCCATTGTTAGACCGATCATTTCTGTGTGAGGGGCGAACATTCCATTGTTAGACCGATCATTTCTGTGTGAGGGGCGAACATTCCATTGTTAGACCGATCGTTTTCTGTGTGAGGGCGGACATTCCATTGTTAGACCGATCATTTCTGTGTGAGGGGCAAACATTCCATTGTTAGACCGATCGTTTTCTGTGTGAGGGGCGAACATTCCATTGTTAGACCGATCGTTTCTGTGTGAGGGGGAACATTCCATTGTTAGACCGATCGTTTCTGTGTGAGGGGCGAACATTCCATTGTTAGACCGATCGTTTCTGTGTGAGGGGCGAACATTCCATTGTTAGACCGATCATTTCTGTGTGAGGGGCGAACATTCCATTGTTAGACCGATCATTTCTGTGTGAGGGGGGGGAACATTCCATTGTTAGACCGATCGTTTCTGTGTGAGGGGCGAACATTCAGCATCAGCCGGGGAGCAAATACACATTTCCTGTACTGTAGGTGTCCTGACAACGGAGGTCACATCTTCTGGGGGTGACAACCAACAGGAACCACAAAGGGACCATCACTCAGGACTGACCAACCCCAGATGGAGCAGAAGATGCGGAGTTCCTCCGATCGGTCATGTATGTAATATGTGATCTCTACACACGCAGCCGGTGGATGTTCTCTCCTCTGTAGAGGGATCAGCAGAGCGTGTTGTATGACTCCCCCCACCATGTGTCCTCATGTGTCCCGGGAACCCGTGATCTGGAACGTTTCCTGACTCACCGCCTTCACCTCCCACGCAGCTGGATCCGCTTCACCCGGCAAAACCACAAAACCTGATGGAGGTTAATAAACAACCTCCTGGATGTGTCCACCCGACTCCGCCCCCACCCCGCCCTCGCCCCGCCCAGGAATGTATCCAGGGATCAGGAAACCTGCCCTACACACTATATACAGGACAGAGCTCCTCCCATCTACACACTATACACAGGACAGAGCCCCTCCCACCTACCCACTTTATACAGGACAGAGCTCCTCCCACCTACACTATATACAGGACAGAGCTCCTCCCACCTACACTATATAAAGGACAGAGCTCCTCCCACCTACACACTATATACAGGACAGAGCCCCTCCCACCTACCCACTATACACAGGACAGAGCTCCTCCCACCTACACACTATATACAGGACAGAGCTCCTCCCATCTACACACTATACACAGGACAGAGCCCCTCCCACCTACCCACTATACACAGGACAGAGCTCCTCCCACCTACACACTATATACAGGACAGAGCTCCTCCCACCTACACTATATACAGGACAGAGCTCCTCCCATCTACACACTATATAAAGGACAGAGCCCCTCCCACCTACACTATAAATACAGGACAGAGCTCCTCCCACCTACACACTATATACACAGGACAGAGCTCCCCCACTTACACACTATACACATGGGACAGAGCTCCTCCCACCTACACACTATACACAGGACAGAGCTCCTCCCACCTACACTATACACACAGGACAGAGCTCTGTCCCACCTACACACTATATACAGGACAGAGCTCCTCCCACCTACACTATATACAGGACAGGAGCCGCCTCCCACCTACACTATATAGTGTGGACAGAGCCCCTCCCACTACACTATATACAGGACAGGAGGCGGCCGCCTCCCACCTACACTATATACAGGGCAGGGGCTCCTCCCACCTACACTATATACAGGACAGAGCTCCTCCCATCTACACACTATACACAGGACAGAGCCTCCCACCTGTACACACTATACACAGGACAGAGCTCCTCCCACCTACACACTATATACACAGGATACAGCGCCCCCTTCTGTCCTGTATATAGTGTGTAGATGGGAGGAGCTCTGTCCTGTATATAGTGTAGGTGGGAGGCGGCCTGTCCTGTATATAGTGTAGGTGGGAGGAGCTCTGTCCTGTATATAGTGTGTAGGTGGGAGGAGCTCAGTCCTGTATATAGTGTGTAGGGGAGGAGCTCTGTCCTGTATAGTGTGTGGGAGGTGGGATGGGAGGGCCTGTCCTTGTATATAGTGTAGGTGGGAGGCGGCCAGTCCTGTATATAGTGTAGGTGGGAGGCGGCCTGTCCTGTATATAGTGTAGGTGGGAGGCGGCCTGTCCTGTATATATAGTGTAGGTGGGAGGAGCTCTGTCCTGTATATAGTGTGTAGGTGGGAGGAGCTCTGTCCTGTATATAGTGTAGGTGGGAGGCGGCCTGTCCTGTATATAGTGTAGGTGGGAGGAGCTCTGTCCTGTAAATAGTGTAGGTGGGAGGAGCTCTGTCCTGTATATAGTGTAGGTGGGAGGCGGCCTGTCCTGTGTATAGTGTAGGTGGGAGGAGCTCTGTCCTGTATATAGTGTAGGTGGGAGGCGGCCTGTCCTGTATATAGTGTAGGTGGGAGGAGCTCTGTCCTGTATATAGTGTGTAGGTGGGAGGCGGCCTGTCCTGTATATAGTGTAGGTGGGAGGTGGCTCTGTCCTGTATATAGTGTAGGGGGAGGAGCCCTGTCCTGTATATAGTGTGTAGGTGGGAGGGGCTCTGTCCTGTATATAGTGTAGTGGGAGGCGGCCTGTCCTGTATATAGTGTAGGTGGGAGGCGGCCTGTCCTGTATATAGTGTAGGTGGGAGGCGGCGGCCTGTCCTGTATATAGTGTAGGTGGGAGGCGGCCTGTCCTGTATATAGTGTAGGTGGCCTGTCCTGTATATAGTGTAGGTGGGAGGCGGCCTGTCCTGTATATAGTGTAGGTGGGAGGAGATCTGTCCTGTATATAGTGTAGGTGGGAGGCGGCCTGTCCTGTATATAGTGTAGGTGGGAGGTGGCCTGTCCTGTATATAGTGTAGGTGGGAGGAGATCTGTCCTGTATATAGTGTAGGTGGGAGGCCCTGTCCTGTATATAGTGTAGGTGGGAGGAGATCTGTCCTGTATATAGTGTAGGTGGGAGGAGCTCTGTCCTGTATATAGTGTAGGTGGGAGGAGATCTGTCCTGTATATAGTGTAGGTGGGAGGCGGATCTGTCCTGTATATAGTGTAGGTGGGAGGCGGCCTGTCCTGTATATAGTGTAGGTGGGAGGAGGGCCTGTCCTGTATATAGTGTAGGTGGGAGGAGCCCTGCCCTGTGTATATAGTGTAGGTGGGAGGCGGCCTCATGATGGGGGTCTGTATATGAAGGGACACCCAGCTGTGAGCGCCCCCTAGGCTCAGATTTGTGTCCTATTCCTGTAATGGAGGCAGCGAGTGACACCACCGGAACCAGTGACACCGCTCCCTGGAACTCACCACCAGCACGATCCCCGCTGTACTCCCCACCAATGGAGGACAAGGACTGAGCGCCGCCAACACCATCAGATAACTGCCCAGTAATACGCCGGCCGCCATGATCAACCCGAGACCCAGAGAAGACCTGAGGAGAGGAAACAACCAATCAGTGTCCATCGTACAAAGAGGACCAATCCCAGCCCAGTCCCAGCATACAGAACCGCCCCGCCTACAATCATTACAAACATGTCCTTCAGGGACTGTGCCTAGGCTGAGATGATGTCATCAGTCTGCTGCAGGCAGGAGGAGTCATTTCCTCAGTCTCCCCTCCCCCAGTGATCAGACTGTACATTGTACCTTTGTAGAAGGAGGAGGAGTCATTTCCTCAGTCTCCCCTCCCCCAGTGATCAGACTGTACATTGAAACTTTGTAGTAGGAGGAGGAGTCATTTCCTCAGTCTCCTCTCCCCCAGTGATCAGACTGTACATTGTAACTTTGTAGAAGGAGGAGGAGTCATTTCCTCAGTCTCCCCTCCCCCAGTGATCAGACTGTACATTGTACCTTTGTAGGGGAGGCGTGTCCTCAGTCCCCTCCCCCAGGGATCAGACTGTACATTGTACCTTTGTAGGGGGAGGCGTGTCCTCAGTCCCCTCCCCCAGGGATCAGACTGTACATTGTACCTTTGTAGGGGGAGGCGTGTCCTCAGTCCCCTCCCCCAGGGATCAGACTGTACATTGTACCTTTGTAGGAGGAGGCGTGTCCTCAGTCCCCTCCCCCAGGGATCAGACTGTACATTGTACCTTTGTAGGAGGAGGCGTGTCCTCAGTCCCCTCCCCCAGGGATCAGACTGTACATTGTAACTTTGTAGAAGGAGGAGGAGTCATTTCCTCAGTCTCCCCTCCCCCAGTGATCAGACTGTACATTGAAACTTTGTAGAAGGAGGAGGAGTCGTTTCCTCAGTCCCCTCCCCCAGTGATCAGACTGTACATTGTATCTTTGTAGGGGGAGGCGTGTCCTCAGTCCCCTCCCCCAGGGATCAGACTGTACATTGTACCTTTGTAGGGGGAGGCGTGTCCTCAGTCCCCTCCCCCAGGGATCAGAATGTACATTGTGCCTTTGTAGGGGGAGGCGTGTCCTCAGTACCCTCCCCCAGGGATCAGACTGTACATTGTGCCTTTGTAGGGGGAGGCGTGTCCTCAGTCCCCTCCCCCAGGGATCAGACTGTACATTGTGCCTTTGTAGGAGGAGGCGTGTCCTCAGTCCCCTCCCCCAGGGATCAGACTGTACATTGTACCTTTGTAGGAGGAGGCGTGTCCTCAGTCCCCTCCCCCAGGGATCAGACTGTACATTGTGCCTTTGTAGGAGGAGGCGTGTCCTCAGTCCCCTCCCCCAGGGATCAGAATGTACATTGTGCCTTTGTAGGGGGAGGCGTGTCCTCAGTCCCCTCCCCCAGGGATCAGAATGTACATTGTACCTTTGTAGGGGGAGGCGTGTCCTCAGTCCCCTCCCCCAGGGATCAGACTGTACATTGTACCTTTGTAGGGGGAGGCGTGTCCTCAGTCCCCTCCCCCAGGGATCAGACTGTACATTGTACCTTTGTAGGAGGAGGCGTGTCCTCAGTCCCCTCCCCCAGGGATCAGACTGTACATTGTACCTTTGTAGGAGGAGGCGTGTCCTCAGTCCCCCCCCCAGGGATCAGACTGTACATTGTACCTTTGTAGGGGGAGGCGTGTCCTCAGTCCCCTCCCCCAGGGATCAGAATGTACATTGTACCTTTGTAGGGGGAGGCGTGTCCTCAGTCCCCTCCCCCAGGGATCAGACTGTACATTGTACCTTTGTAGGGGGAGGCGTGTCCTCAGTCCCTTCCCCCAGGGATCAGACTGTACATTGTACCTTTGTAGGAGGAGGCGTGTCCTCCTCAGTCCCCTCCCCCAGGGATCAGACTGTACATTGTACCCTTGTAGGAGGCGTGTCCTCAGTCCCCCCCCAGGGATCAGACTGTACATTGTACCCTTGTAGGAGGCGTGTCCTCAGTCCCCTCCCCCAGGGATCAGACTGTACATTGTACCCTTGTAGGGGGAGGCGTGTCCTCAGTCCCCTCCCCCAGGGATCAGACTGTACATTGTACCTTTGTAGGAGGAGGCGTGTCCTCAGTCCCAGTACACTCCCCCCTCACACAGTAAGCCCCTCCCCCATATCTGTGTCAGGTGAAGGTTTGTATAGAGGATCAGCAATCAGAAGTCGTATAAAAAATGTACAAATATTCATCTCTCCGCCGAGGACTCCGATCACCCGGAGGAGACATGACAGGGAATCCTCCACAACCTCAGCAATGGAGACTTCTGATTGTGACGTGTGATCTGTGATGTGTGACCTGTGACGTGTGACGTGTGATCTGTGATGTGTGATCTGTGATGTGTGACATGTGACCTGTGACGTGTGATGTGTGACGTGTGATGTGTGATCTGTGATGTGTGATCTGTGATGTGTGACATGTGACCTGTGATGTGTGATGTGTGATGTGTGACCTGTGATGTATGACGTGTGACCTGTGATGTGTGACCGTGTGTGATGTGTGACCTGTGACGTGTGACCTGTGTGTGTGACCTGTGACGTGTGACCTGTGACGTGTGTGTGACGTGTGACCTGTGATGTGTGACCTGTGATGTGTGACCTGTGATGTGTGATGTGTGACCTGTGATGTGTGTGTGATGTGTGATGTGTGTGACCTGTGATGTGTGACGTGTGACCTGTGATGTGTGACGTGTGATGTGTGACCTGTGATGTGTGACGTGTGACCTGTGATGTTTGATGTGTGACCTGTGATGTGTGACGTGTGACCTGTGATGTGTGACGTGTGATGTGTGACCTGTGATGTGTGACTGTGTGTGACCTGTGACGTGTGATGTGTGACGTGTGTGTGATCTGTGATGTGTGACGTGTGTGACCTGTGATGTGTGACGTGTGATCTGTGACGTGTGACCTGTGACGTGTGACCTGTGACCGTGTGACCGTGTGACCTGTGATGTGTGATGTGTGACCTGTGACGTGTGACCTGTGATGTGTGACCTGTGATGTGTGACCTGTGATGTGTGACCTGTGATGTGTGACGTGTGATGTGTGACCTGTGATGTGTGACGTGTGATGTGTGTGTGTGACGTGTGTGATGTGTGACGTGTGACCTGTGATGTGTGACGTGTGACCTGTGATGTGTGACGTGTGACCTGTGATGTGTGACGTGTGACCTGTGATGTGTGACCTGTGATGTGTGACCTGTGACCTGTGATGTGTGACTGTGATGTGTGATGTGTGACCTGTGATGTGTGACCTGTGATGTGTGTGTGACCTGTGATGTGTGACCTGTGACGTGTGACCTGTGATGTGTGACTGTGTGACCTGTGATGTGTGTGACCTGTGACGTGTGTGACTGTGTGTGTGACGTGTGATGTGTGACGTGTGACCTGTGATGTGTGACGTGACGTGTGACCTGTGATGTGTGACGTGACATGTGTGACCTGTGATGTGTGACCTGTGATGTGTGTGACGTGACGTGTGACCCGTGATGTGTGACCTGTGATGTGTGACGTGACATGTGTGACGTGACATGTGTGATGTGTGACTGTGACGTGTGTGACCTGTGATGTGTGACGTGTGATGTGTGACGTGTGATGTGTGACCTGTGATGTGTGACTGTGTGACATGTGTGACCTGTGATGTGTGACTGTGTGTGACCTGTGATGTGTGACTTGTGATGTGTGACGTGTGATGTGTGACCTGTGACGTGACATGTGATGTGTGACGTGTGATGTGTGACTGTAATGTGTGACGTGTGACGTGTGATGTGTGATGTGTGACCTGTGATGTGTGACGTGACGTGTGACCTGTGATGTGTGATGTGTGACGTGTGACCTGTGATGTGTGACGTGTGACCGTGTGACCTGTGATGTGTGACGTGATGTGTGACCTGTGATGTGTGACGTGACGTGTGACCTGTGATGTGTGACTGTGATGTGTGACCTGTGATGTGTGACGTGTGACATGTGTGACGTGTGATGTGTGACCTGTGATGTGTGACATGTGTGACCTGTGATGTGTGACGTGTGACCTGTGATGTGTGACGTGACGTGTGATGTGTGATGTGTGACCCGTGATGTGTGACCTGTGATGTGTGACGTGACATGTGTGACCTGTGACGTGTCCTCTGTCCTCAGAGTGGTGAATGACGTGTGACATGTGACGTGTGACCTGTAATGTGTGACCTGTGATGTGTGACTGTGTGATGTGTGACCTGTGATGTGTGACTTGTGACCTCTGACATGTGACCTGTGATGTGTATATAGTGTGTCACGCAGCCTAGAAGTGCGGTCGCGGCCATTTTGGAAGTGGGAACACGTGAAGGACTACACCTGCGCTGTGCTGAACACTGGAAGCTGCTCGTCTTCCATGTTAATGTAACAAATCGTGTCGCAGTTTCTATATTATCTCCTATTTACCTCGTGAGGAGTGGGAGCCGGAACATTGGGAGCATTGGGAGGGACATTGGGAGCCGGGACATTGGGAGCCGGGACATTGGGAGCCGGGACATTGGGAGCCGGGACATTGGGAGCCGGGAGGGCGCCACCATCCATCCATTGTTGCAGCAGATGGAGGAGATCACTTTTCACTGTTCTGTAGTCTGAAGTGTTCACCATCCATCCCCACCATCTGCAGGAGATCTCACAGGTTCTATTGTTCAGAGTTGTAACGCTCACTACTAATAATTAATTCTAATATATATATACATTGTATACAGTCCGGGGGAGGGGGGCTCACTTCTGGGAGATACTGTATATATATATATATACAGTGAGGAACAGAAGTATTGAACCCCCTGAGATTCTGCAAGTTCTCCACTTCTTCTCCATCATGGAGGGTCTGACATTCACATTGCAGGGGATTCCCACTCTCAGGACAGAATTCAGGAGATCACATTGCAGGGGATTCCCACTCTCAGGACAGAATTCAGGAGATCACATTGCAGGGGATTCCCACTCTGAGGACAGAATTCAGGAGATCACATTGCAGGGGATTCCCACTCTGAGGACAGAATTCAGGAGATCACATTGCAGGGGATTCCCACTCTGAGGACAGAATTCAGGAGATCAC